TATATATATATATTATTTAGAGCAAAAAGAAACGAACATGAACGAACAAAACTTTATTATGTTCAGCTCATTTATATATTAAGCGCAAAAAAATATATTTGTTCGGCTCGTTTGCTTAGCAAACAAATCTAAAACGAGCTACGAGCTGAACACAAGTTGTTCACGAACAACGAGCCGTTTTGACAACCCTAATATTAACTAAGCAAAATACACTTCATGCATAGATAAGGCGGCACACATGTAAATTTTGAAGTATAGGTGTTAGATATGTAAATACATAAAAATTTATTAAATTACATTATTACAATCACAACATGTGGTGCAAAAAGTGCAGCTCCACAACATTATACAATACATAACATTATAACATGCGAGCAAATAGAACAATCATTCAAGCAGGAAAAAATAACTCCAAACAACTATAATCCATAAATCTAATGAACATCTATGACTACAACAAGCTCAGTATCTAATCCATACAAAAATTGAAATAAAATAAACCAAAATAATATGAACTCAAATCCCTCATTACACATACTTCCCTCTGTATTTTGGCTTGCTATCCCTATCAAGCTTAAATTCTGCAGCCTGAGAATCAGAAGATCTGAACACTGCAGAATGAAGATTACCTTCTACCATCCACTTGAGGTGATTCTCCCTGAACTCCAAATGCTTCTTTCTAGCTAATTCCGAAATCTCTTCAGTGTAATGGCTGATCTTCACCATTGTGAGTAAATAGCGGCTGTAGCGCAAGCTAAGAATCTGCTCGCAGGAAGCTATCAATGTGAAGCATGGATGTTCCGGAAACCGGGCGACGGCGACGGTATCTTCCCTGAGCACAGGGAAGAAGAAGACGAGCCTGCCTCCCATGACGAGCATTCGTGCAGCGAGTTCAAGCAGATCGTGCACGCATTCCGCTAAGCTGTAAGCCGCGGTTGACGGAATGTGGTCGAAGCGTTTCTCTTCGGGAACCGTGTATGGGTTGACGACACCTTTGAGTAACTTTCGGCCGCCGGATTTGCGTCCTCCGGCACGAACGCCATATGGGGGATCACAGATGATGGCGTCGAATATCTTGTTGGAGGAAAAATTGTGATGGTGAGTATATGAAAATGATGCAAGGAAATTATGCTGTATAAATGGTATAAATCCATGAGAATTGAGTGGTAGCAGATCTCAGTTATGCGGCATGAGAAAGACTCAATGGCTTAGAGTAAGTGGGACGCTGGAATATTTGAATTAAGGCAAGAAGCCATTTTGGTTTTCAGAGTCCGAGGGGTAACGCTCTAATGGTGATATGCAATAAATTTGTTAAAAAAGAAAAAAAGTTTCAAAGCAGGACAGCATTTTTATAGCCATCGAAGTGCTGTTCTTTTTTTTTTGTCTTATTCTGTGTGTTTCTGCACCCAAGACATTTGCCAATGATTCTATTTCACAGTCCAATTAAAAGAATAAAAAAAAAGAAAATTTAAATGCATACCATTTAATTCCTGTGTATTTACATATCTAAAACCTATACATTAATTTTTGCATACATACCACCCTATATATTTACATATCTAAAACCTAAACTTAATTTTTACATACATACCCCTTATTTATGCATGAAAAAGGTGTCTTTTACATTTTTTATTCAAGTTAAAATGGTGGTAGTTTTATTTGATATGACAGATTTATATAGAATAAATGTAAGAAATGAAGTATGTTAGAATATGTAAATACATAAGAATTGAGTGGTGTTGTATGTAAACGCCCCTAAAAAAAAATGAGTCAATAGAAGAAAATCCAACTCCACACTAAAAAAGTGCCCATGATCCTAAAGAGATCTAACGGTATCGAAGGTCTGTCAGACGATC